ATTTTTTAGGAAATTGAAGTTAAGGTAGCAAACCCCTTGTGGTTTCTGGCTGCTGCAAATAACTTAAGTTGTACCAAGCTGATGAAAATCTTCAATAAGGAGGGATCATGGTTATATTTAGAAGATTGTTAAGCTAGTGCATTAATGCATAACATTTTTTCAGAATATCTGCTTTATTAACTTCCCTGCTTATTCAATAGTTAGGTGCCTTTCTTCTGCTCAGACAATCCAGCATGTTTTTCAGTGAAATATGATAAAATGTAAGAAGTATATGCTTGCAGAATGCATAGGTGTAACTGAAGCAGTTATATTTTTAATGTGGTTTTTTTTCCCTGTTATTCCTTGGGTTTTTTTGTTCTGTATTATGTTTTGCTATTTTTTTTTCTTTATTTGTCTGCTTTATTATTTGCTGAGGCTGTTGTTTCATTCAAGGTTTTTGCTTGGTGTTCTAAAGAAACAGAATTTAGACATGCCATGTGTGCATCAGTCCCACTGTAGTAATTTTAAACCTGTTAGCCAATTGCAAATAAACATGAGAGTAAGAAAAAGATTCCAAAGGCATTGATTTTCCATAATGTTTGAGTCCAGGTGGCTTGGGAGAGAGGAAACACCTTAACAATGCCCTACAGCATGAGCTATATGGAGAGAGAGGAAAGACTAGAGATATTTCTGCAAACTAGGTTTAATTACGTTATTCATAAAATTGCTTAAATGCTAGCCCATTCCCTTTGCTATTCCATTCTGTTTTCTGTTTGTGCAGTCTGATGAGAAGTTCTGCATGATGGTGGGGAAGACGAGATACTTTTCATAATTGTCACAGCCTAGAACATTTATATAAATAAAAAGGTATTTATGGTAGGCGCTGATTTTAGATATTGCATGATTTGAAGGGGTGGACAATGTCAGCCATTTTACCCATGGAGATTGTGTGATTGATGGGAATGGGTGAGACAAAACTGAAGCAAAGCACATGAAAGTTTAGTTTGCCTTTAGGTTTTAAGTCTTCAAGATTATCTTTGTCATTTTGGAGGATATTTACTTTTTTTTTTTACTATTCTTTAGTGAAATCTTTATGTTAAAATCTCTGAATTAGGCAGGATTTGTTGAAAAATCTAGGATTTTGTGAAAAGGTCAACAAGGGGAGAAGGGAAGGAAAAAAAGTAGCAGAGATATGAACTCACCAGAAATAGCTTGGTAATAGTAAAATGAGAACAATGCTTCTCAGACTCTGTAAAGGGTCAGTAAAACCAGGAAAAAGCTATAGGCTGTTCCTGCTTAACTTTGGTGTCTGGTGGTTTCAGCTGGTTCTTTCAATCTCTGTTTCCTCTGCTCTTTGAGATTATATTCACCTTTCCTTCTTGATGTCTAAATCCTATTGCTTTACTCTCTTGCTAGAAGCATTGATTTATTTGCTTAGGCTCGTACAAGCATGCTAGTGTTCTGCTAAAGTTAAAAATATTGTTGCCATATAGTAGTTGGTCAAAGAGTGGGATTTTAGAGGAAAATATCTAACTTCATATTCAGTGGAAGCTGCTTGTCAGCATTTTTATAGGTTTGAATAGGCATTTTAAAAAGATTGAGCTCTAAGCCTTGATAATTGAACTTAAGCTCATAAATTTAAGTCTTATCTGCTCCTGAAATTGAAACCTGGACCTTGTTGTCAAACTGCAATGAAGATCTACATGAAAATGAAATAGGATGTTAATGGAGAATTTCTCATTTAGATTTGCTTTTTAGCTGTACAAGCAACAATTTTAGGAATGTTGATCTCATTTTTATTGTCTTGGATATGAATGACTTTATAGAGTGAGCTATTGAGTGCCCAAATCATGCCACATTCCAACTTTGTCAGTGTAACCTAGGCATTTTGCTTGAAATAAATATACAGACTGGTGACTTCGTAAACATTTATAGCTGTACCCTGTGTTAAATAAGGACTATACTTTATTTTCATGCAATAAAATTTAATTAGTTGTAAGTCAGGTTTTGCTTTAGTTGTAATTAGTTTAGCATATAATTATTTTGTCTAATAGCAATTTGAAATCTGCAAGCATTTTGATCTTATTCCAAGTTAAAAAAAACCTCCTCTTAGTAATGTATTCAATCAGTAGCTATAATAGAATCTTATTAGCCAACCATGTTACAGACTGTGTAAATCTTTAAGTGACTGAAGCAGTGTTTTCACTGATGCTTGTTATATGTTGCATTAAGAAGGTGTATGTATAGAAATGTTTTATATTGGACTTGGGGCTTTTATATGATTCAGAAAAAAATCAATGATCTGTGTTTTCTTGGTGAGCTTAATATTTGCTGTTTGATTTTTAGCTTTTTTAAATTTTTTTATTTCAAAATTAATTTTTAAGCTCTAGCTTTCATAAAATATAACTGGGAACTGTGTGTGTGAAAATAGTAAAACTTCAGTTTTAACAAATGGATGTATAGTAGATCTCGTAATTTACACACACATATTATTGCCTAATAAAATGTATTATAATGGTTAATAGTTATTTTTCAAATAATATCTTGTGTCTTCTATCTTTTGGTTGTGGCTGGATTCCATTTCTAAAGAAGTTGCCCTGCCAAGGAGTCTTCTGTCAGCTTTGCCTGTGGATTTCTTTATGGGAACAGCATTACAGCAAGAGATAAATGCAGAGAACTGCAATGGAGTAATGAGGAGCAGAGCTTCTGTTCTTACTTCCAGTCCAACCAGCTTATTTTTTGCTAGCAGTGGTTTACAATATTGCTTGCTGGTAATTTTGCACTAAATTAAATTTCACCTATATTATTAATTTTAAGGTTCTTGCATTTCCTTCATAAAAGGGCTCATCTTGCTCTCTGCTGATCATTTCATCAGCCTATAGGTCAGGAAATTATGACTAATCAGAGCATAGAGAATGGTAGTTTTTAAGGAATTGAATAAATGAACAGTCAACAGCCTTGTACTTGATGGATATTTGGTTTTTTTCAGACTCTATAGTCTGATTGATAGGGATAAATGACTTCACAACTAGAAAAGAGACACTTGAGTATTGACAATTAAAAAGAAATATGTACTTTAGCCTAGGAAGAAATTGCCTCGTCTTTAAGGAATAGGATTTTCAGTTCCTTCTCTGTTTTTGCAATTACCTGCCCTATAACACTTAAAAAAATGTAGATATTTCTGTTAAATTTAGCAGGCATATCATGTGAGTTAACTTGTAATTTTCCCCTCTAGACTTTCTATTTTACTATGATGACTAGGGTACACTTCTTAATTCTGTTTCAGGTGTTTTGAAAGCAGTCATATTTATATCATCAGACATATTTTAAAGTATCTTATAAGAACAAGTGTGCATTATTACCTGTATAATTCTTTTTATATAAATACTTATGTATGGAGGTATTGTATGTAATTGTAGAACTCAATACTCTGTGTAAGTGGGAATATATGTATAATACAGAACTAAAAGCTTTAAATATAGAACACAGTTGTGTAGAAACTTGAAGATGTTGCACATTTCACTTGTTAAATACCATTATACTAAGGCCTCAGTGAAAGGCTGTTGAAAGCTCTTAATAACAATACTGTTTACTTGCTGTTGATCTCTAGACTAACAGTAGGGAAAATACAATTTTTTAGTTTGCCTCCCCCCCCCAGATGAAACTAACCTGAAAATATTTTAATTATCAAAACAATAGGGAAAATAATCTTGCTGATAATAGAGTAGTATATTTTGTTTATTGTGCTTATTTTTTGCTTCTAGGCTACTTTAAAATAGCACCCTTTAGGTATCAATGGGTTGAAGTTCATTTGCAACACAAATGTAATAATAAAAATAGGTCAAATATATTCCCATTATCGCTCAACATGCTCTAGTTAAAAGATGGATGTAGAAATGGCAAAAACTATCCAGCTGCTCTACATCAAAAACTAGTCTAAGTATAAATAAATACTTGGAAATGTTTTGTCTTTAAATTGAAAGGAGTCTTAAAATAAAGAGTGATTCAATTCAGTGTGACAAATGAAGTATGAATTCAGTTTTAAAATAAGTAATAGGAAGGGTTTTATTTTTGTTCCTTTAACCGTGTTTTACCCAGACATATGAATATTGTATTTTGTACTGAACAGTTTTATAAGGTGAAAGTTGCCAATTGTTGGAGTCAGTGCACATTTTCCAGGCCACAGCCACTGAGCTGACCTAGGAAAGCAGAGAGATGTGAAAATCTAGAATAATAGAAAGCATTCACGTCTCAAAGCTGAATTTCAGCTGTGTGCTTGAAAGTAGAAAAGGGCAAATATGGGGGGAAGTATCTCTTCCCCAACTCAGAGACAGTTTCAGCGGGTCTTGCAGCCAGCTAGGGCACTTCCTACGGGGTTATTACTCATTGCAGATATCCAGCAAAAAAAAAAAATCCTGACTTTTTCATGTGATAAACAATGACAGAAGCTCTACTTTGGACTCAGTATGATCCTTATATTTTATGTAGTTACAAGGGTAAAGCATCTTGGACAGGCAAGAAATTATTAAATATCCATGTCAAGGAACTGGAAAATAACTACCTTTGCTTTCATTTGTGTTGGAGTAGTTGGGAGCAGCACTGCAGGAAGTAAAAGCAGTGTTTTGCTGGGTGTAGTGAGGTAGAGATCAAGAGCAAAATAATAGTAAAAATGCTCCATTTATTAAGCAGGTTTTCTAGAGCAAGGATCCAGTGATTCTGTTTCCTCTTGTCCCATCCTTTGACGGAGCACATGTTCTGACCTGCTGTCTAATTACTGAGCAAGAAGTTTTCAGGTTGATTTACATGGGGTACCTGTTGGATAGGCAAACTAGGCATTTCCTACTTGGTAACTTGTTCAGGTTATGGGTTTGGTTTCGGACTTTACTTGCACTTTTGTTCCTTTCAGGATATAATAAGTTCAAAAATGTTTCAAGGTCTGTTAAAACTTGCATGAGATTAAGAGATTATAAGACTACGTTAAGTTTTGAGGACTCATGGTGGACAACTAGATGAACTTCTGGAGAAGAATGGACAGAAAAGCCAGAAGAGCAGGTTAAGTGACTAACTTAAGGAAGATGGATTGGGCACCAGGTGGCACCCTTTTCCCATATCAAGCTAGTAGTTGATGGATGGTAATTCATCAGATAGTTTTGATAGGCTTTCAGTAATTTCCTTTTATTGACACCAACATCCTCTCCCCATAGTAGCTTCTTATTTATCCTTTCATTGGTTTTGGCATTGTTGTCTTCGGCTCAGCAATTTGGGAGGCAGCAAATGTTGTGATTGATGCAGAGCTGCCAGGGTGCTGGTTGGCTTGTTGATCAGGAACTGATGCATATGTCCACTGGCTGCTTCCTCAGAGCTGCTAGAGGAGACAGTCAAACAGGCAAGCAAATGTCTGCATCAGATGAAGAATATGTAGGAGGCTAAGTGCAAAAGTAACAGCAAAAGGATTGGGAGAAAGGAGGAGTCAGGAATTTATCAAAAAGTCATAAATAACTGAAAATCAATGCTATGGACAGCAAGGAACATGGAGAAGCATATAGATAAGGAGACTGTAATAAATTTGAGGTAAAGAAAATCATGGAAAGAAGGAAAAGCAAATGTTCTGTCTGCTCCTACTTCAGGAGTTTCAAGAATAACACCTAAAACAAGCCCCATTACAAAGAAAATAAATAGTAATAAGGGAAGAAAGAATCCAAGAGAAAATCAGTTCAATCTTTTTTTTTTTTTTTTTTTTAAGGCAGTTTATGGAAAACCTACTTCAGGCTTTGATGTGGGAAGACAGAAGGGACAGCTGAAACAGAGTATTGGATACCTGATTATATTCCTATTTTATCGTCTGCCCAGTCTAGCTTAAACCCCTGGTTGTTCATGATTACAGAGCAGTAGCTTTTCCATCTGGTAGCCAAGTTTGTGCTCTTCAGATTTGCATCTCCACAATTTGAATGGCACTGTTGCTTTTTACACTTTTTCCAGAGAGGCTTAAGGTAGAGAATGTAAACATTGAAGCTGCCAAGACAAAATGCATTCTGAACCTATAGTTAAAACCATCATGTTTCCAGGTAGTACTGCTTGCTGAATCCTGAAGCATGTAATAATGCATTGCTTTGGAAAGCATTTTGTATCGTTAAGATAGAAAAGCATATTTCAGCATCTGATAACTAAAAAGAAACTTTTCCAAGGCTGCTGACCCAGATGCTTTAAGATGGGTTTGAATTTAGCTAAATTTTATTTCAGGCTGCTTTTACTGACCTTCCCTCCCCCTCTCCCCTTGCACATTCCCTTGGTGGTCTTTCAAAAGCCAGGTGTCTGGGATTGTCTCCAGCCTACTCTGAAAGCACCCCAGGCCTTGGATTAATATGTGAGTGCTGCCTTTTATTTAAGTCCATCCATTTACATAATGCCTGCTCAGTCAGACCCACTTGTGATGTACAGCCAAGTTGAACCAAAACCTCAGCCAGGTCAGTAGTGCATGGTCCTGTTTTTTACTGAATTTAACTTAAAATGTCAGACCTTTTTGCAATGAAAACCAAAGAATATTGCAAAGGTGTTTCACAGAGGGAGGTTCTTGAGATGTTTGATCTTTGTGTAGAAGAACTGGAGAACGAATAGTATGTGAAAATGTGCTTCTGCTTAAAGGGTGTGAGTGTCGATCTAATATCAGGGTGAAAATTTCATTGTGTATACATGACATGAAGGTACGTTATTAGTATAAAAAATAATTTCTGTAACACATAAAACAGATTTACCTGGACTGCATCAGTGTCATTCTGTTATACCAAGTTCTCACTCTAAAAGCATTGTTGCCATTAAATGAAAGACTTTGAGCCTCATTTTCTAAATGTAGTTCTGAACTACTGAGATCTCAAAAACCAAACAAATAGTTTCTTGTTATCCTTTGCAAGCATGTTGAACTATGGATTGTGTTTTTTTGGTTTGGTTGGGCCTTTTCTGATGATCACAATTGTCAACTTTTATACCTTGACATTGTTTTTTATTAGAGTCCTTCTCAATATTGTTGAAAGTGGGTCACAGGACCTAACTCAGGAGTGGAAGGGACAACTACACAAAATAGTGAACTTGACTTAAGATTGTGTTTAAAATGTTCACACTGCTGAATTTGCAAGCAAATGGTGTTGTTAGAGATTGTTTTGGCAAAAAGTAGTATCCAGATTCTCCTGCCTGGTTAGCACTTGAGCAGCAAATAAAGTACGGACTTCTACGAAAATAAAAATGATCAATTAAAAGAGACAAATTTAGGAATACCTGTGACTTAGTGTAGTGATAGGCTTTATTGTCACTAGTTTCTATTATTGATGTTGTAGCTTAGTATGAATGTATTAGAAGGGCATTATTTTCTCAGTATTTGTCTCTGCTACTTTTTTGGGGTTTTCACATGAAAACAGAGCGTTTGAACCATCAGTTGATTCCAGAACTTAGATATATAAAATTCTTGGTACTTACATAATATGGTACTGCTTGATTTTCCTGATGAGCAAATAGTTGTTTCCTGTACTTTGTGTATGTCATTCACATCTTTATGGATATATTTCTTTAGACTGGAATACTGTATTAATAAACTGTCAATATGAGATTATTCTTGCTCTTAGTTTATGATGCTATTGTTTATAGTTCTTCTATGACTTAAGAAATGATAGTGATTGCATTTTATTACCATTTCTAAATTTTCTTATTGATGAATGTTATCTGACTTGAAATTTTTAATTTTATAGATATTCTGAACATGTGCATGCAAAAATCATAATTTTCTTTTGCTGTCTTTTGACCCTGAGTTATCCTTTTCACTTTTAAGTTGGGGGCTTTTCCATATAAATCAGAATTTTTTGCTATGTTTTTTATAGGATGTCAAGATTTTGTTTTTGCCCTGCACTTACACTTATGAATAAAGCAGAGACTCATTAGGAATAGCTTAAGAACACACTATCTACTCTACAAACTAGTTATCTACATTTTATTGTAAAATCTTGACAGTAGGCAGTGGAGTTATACTAAAAGTTTTCTTAAAAAAAGGGAACATAGAAATTATTAGATTTCACAGCAGAACAGGTCTAATATGGGGAAGATAATTGCATAAAATTGGTGCCAGATTGGGTCTTGTTTGTCTATTACAGCAAATGGTTAGGCTAAGAAGAAAAAACTTCAACTTTTAAGATAGATTATGAAAAGAGATATGAATATTTCTAAATACAGAAGTGTGAAGGTTGTAAATATTAAAAGTGATACTTAAAAGTTTTCATAAAAGTGACAAGAAAATAACAGAAGTAAAAATAAAAAAATTTGCAGATTGAAATAAAAATTCAGTGTATATTGTGAAATAGAAATATTTATTAGGTGTAAGTTTGATACTCTGTTGGTGAAATTGTTACTATGACAGTAACAGCTCGTGGATGTACCTGGTTCACCATGGCGTAGAGTGGACAGCATAGAGGATATTGGGATCCTTGGTGGTATTCGGTAGAATTTTTTTTCTTGTTTCATCACATCATAGTTTATCTGAAAGATAAATCCGACAGAAACTACTGTGCTCTTTGCTAGATTTTGATGTTACTGAAGGGGAGAGCCTTTCAAGAAGGATCTGCCTTCTGTCTAAAATGTCTTGTCAACACCAAAAATGTGTGCATGACAAACCTTTGGCATCTTAATATTTTCATCGTAGTTAGCAAGCAGTGATCAACTTAAGAGCAAGTTCTGATTTTATCATGGAGGTCAAGATTTGATGGTAATGTGCCTTTTATGTCCAAGGCAGCAGGGATGCTTTGCCTTTCAAAGCGTACCTCTTGGCCCACACTTCAATGCTAGTTGGTATCACAATACTTTTCAGTAGTCAGGGGCCCAAGGTGTCCAAATAATTCCTCTTTGCCAATGGCTTCTGGAAAGAGTTCTGTGGAGCAGTTGGCATGGATTGTGGTGAGAGTTTTCCAGTGCATGATGGTGATGGCTTTACCCCAGCTTATGCCAGCATCTTCAGCACATATGGTCTATGGAGCTTTCCATTAACTTCTGCAAACACTGAGCTCCCCTTTTCACTGTCACCTAGTCACAAGGTCACCATCTATCATGAGAATTAGTATATGACCTGCAGTGTTTTATATAATACAGTGGCACTTTACTCTTCCTATACTGCCTTTTCTTCCCTGTCTGCAATGGTTGAAGCTTATCTTGGCATCTTGGTATGCAAACCTCTGGAAAAAGCCCCAAATACAAGTAGCTGATAGTGTGTTAGCAAAAGGTGAGCACTGGGAACATGTTCAGTACCATTTCAGGAAACTTGCAGAGTAACTCATTAAAAAAAAAAAAAATCAAAAAGTTTTAATACTCTTGGAAATTTAGTTGTGTGGCCATATTTTGCTGTTGATGAAACACATCTTAGTCCTGGTTTCAAAATGAAGTTTAAAGAGATGCACTTGGTCTTTCAGTGTATTTCACTAATGTATATTTTAATTAAAAGTAAGAATTTCTGAGCTTAACTGATTGGAAATAATTTGTACAGAGGGTTGAGGAAAGGTTGAGCTTGTGCAGGTAGTCTGAGGGAAAGGGCTCAGACAAAAATTTGGTCATTATGAATGTATTGATCAGAGAGAAAAAGATAAACCATTGTGACTAAAGGTGAAAAGGAGGGAAATGCTAATAATAAATGGGTCGTAGGTGTTTAGGCAGAGGAGGAGGATTTTGTTGCTCATCTGGCACAGATTCCTAGATACCCTTAGCCTAATTTCATGAAATGTTGTTAGATTACTTAATGAAAAGTCTTCAGTCAGAACTTCAAGAGAAAGACAGTTGTGACTTAAAAAAAATGTATTTGACTAAGTATTTTGTGGTTTGTGATTAGCTGAAAGAATCATATGTAACAGAAATCACATTCCTCTCTAAATATTTAGGATTTGACAGAAATATCTTAAAATTGAGAAGCTTAATTACTTTTGTTTATTGTTGCTTGATTATCTGGCATTTAAATTTTAAGAGATGACTGCACATTTTTATTTTTTTTTTTATAAATAATGCAAAATAAATAACAAGAGAAGGGTTTAATAGAATTAAAGTATTCTATTTTCTGGGTTTTTTTCCATATATGATTTTTTCCTTTTTTTAGGGTTTAAAGAGCATTAATATTGTGAATTGTGAAACAATTTCAAGTGTGAGTATGGTAAGACAGGATCCTTGATTTAACCACTTGAGAGGGTATAAATACATTATAAGCAGAAAGCTTCTATACAGAACTGACAACAGCCAATTCTGACCACAGTATAAAAATTATCTATTTTAAAAGGCTGAAATGCACATAAATGAAGTATACAACTTTAAACATTTTAAGTGGTTATTTTTCAATCTGCAAAACAAATGCTATTTCCATACTAGAAATTCTTGTTAAAGAGCAGGTTTTGTGATGACTATTGGATTTAAATTACTAACATTCAAAAGGCTTCTGTATTGACTTATCTGTCAAAAAAATTGTCTTAAATAAAATTTATTGTAGCATGGTGCAGTTTTAGTGGTATGAAAATTGCTCAGCAGACTGTGTAACAATACTTGATTCTTCCTTTGTGCTGCACAAAACTCAGCGATAACAAGAGTTTTTTTAATATGTGTTAATAAGGCATGTAAATTTCCTCCCACTTTTTAACCTTTGAGTCATACTGTCAGTTTTGACATTTTTTAAGTCTGCTTATGGAGATTTGTGTTGTGTTTTGAATATGGTAGGAAGGTTCTAGAGATACATACTGACAGCTTTTCAGTTCCTAAATATCAAGAGGAAATTCAACAATGCAACAGTGGAAGAAAATTGAGCTTCTGTTATTCTGACAATAGGTATTTTGAGATGAAGAAAACATATGGAACTTGCTAACAGAGAAGTCCTAGAAGTAGCCAAGCTTAAGGAGGTTGGGTTGTTACTGTTTTTCTTGGCTAGTGTTGATGCTGTGTCGTAATTACTGAGGAATGAGTGGAGCTGGAAGTCATGGGTTCCAAGTAGAAACTTGAGTTCAATCTGGTTTTTCAAGGATGAAATATAAGAAAGCTTCCATTAGAGATATATCTGATACTTCAAGGCATAATGTGTTATGCTGACCTTGGGGGAGAAAAAAATCACACTGACAATAGACTGCAAATTTTAAATATCAATGAAACTTTGATACAATATCACAAGAGAATGGGAAACTGTCTTCAAAAAGTAGAATTTAAAATTCAAAATTGGGAAGCTTTTGAACCAATGCAAGTTGTTCAACTTGTTTTGCATTGGCTAAGATTAGGAGTAGTAATGATCTCAGATTAAAACTTGAATCTAATGCATGACTCTGTAAGACCCCAGGCTCTAAGATACAAGCTCACCGAAGGGGTTTTGCTTTAAAAATATACAAGGCTCCACATATTTGCCTGCTGAATTTATTAGAAGAGCCTTCAGTTCTTCTAAAGCCTTAAGATAGCACAAAGGAGAAATGCTGCACATGTTTTCTCAGGGGGTACTTTTACTGGTAAACTTTAAAGAATAAGGGAACTTGGCAAAAGTTTAAAGGGCAACATTCAACCAAAATAAAGCATTCCACAAAACATTGACTTAGCACATGCTAACCTATGCAACTTGGCCAAATCCAACCTGTCCGGTCGTAAGCTACCCAAAATATTTAGAAAGGAGATTAGGAGAATAAGAGGAAGTAAAGAGGGGGAAAAAAGAGAATTATAGCTACCACCTCTAGATCCAGGGTTGATCCACGTACCAGGAGTCCAGAAGATAGTAGGGCTCAAAGGAGCATGGAGAGCACATTGCTGCTTTTGTTTGCTTTGGCCCCCCTATGGCCACACCTCCGCAGCCCCCAGGTGGGACTTGCAGCCCACTGACCACTCTGGGGCTCCGGGGAGGGGTGAGGGGCCTGGTGTGTCAGAGGCTGGTTTAGGGAGAAAAGGGGATGTGGTGTGGGGCAATGCTCCTGGGCTGCTTTTGACTGACAGCTGCCCTGGGGTTGCCCAAGGGGACTCCAAGGGTCTGAGTTATGGCATAGGGTGTCACCTCACCTTTGTGAAACTTACCCTGTCGCTTCCCTCCACCCCCCCATTTGAGTTGGTCCAAGTCAATAACAAATATAATAATCCAATGTCTCACAGACTCACATAGCAAAAATAGCTGGTTTTTTTTCTCTGTTGCACAAGTCTGGATCTTCTTTTACATTAAGTTAAAGTATTTTTTTTTCAGTTGTAGCAAAAGTACATGTTGAATATCAACCACTTAGGACTGAAAAGATTTTAACAATTAGGAGAAGGAATGTACTTGATATCCCCTCCTTCAGGCTTTGGTCCTTTAGAGTCTCACCCATGCCTTGACAACAGAGCTCAGCTATGACGCAAGGTTTGTGCAGGAACAGGTAGGAGCAAGCAAGAAGTGACCAGGTGAAGTATCAAATGAGTGAAAAAAATGCATGGTCTTTGGTTTGGAATAGGGAGTGTTGAGTGATACAGGTACATTGCTTAACTGTTTACCTTTGCTAGGAAATTTTTTTAAAGAGCTTTTTAAAGAGACTGTAAGTCTTTGTGATGGATTGTTTAGTGTTTGGTTATGTTGTGTTTGTTTTAGAGGGGCTTGGGGAGTGGAATTGTTTGTGTGTGTGCTGGTATATTTTTCTGGGCCAAACAGGTACCTCAATCATATTTCTTCAAGGTTGTTTTAGAGCAAACTGCCTTATTATCTGTATAATTCCTTGTTTTGTACAAAACATATTACCATAATTCATAGTATTTTTTTATGCTACAAAAACCTCTGATACAATCTCAGGATTTTCTCTCAAAACCACTTAATTTTGGTGGATTTAGCACTGCTATACTTTGAGACACCGTTGCTTTATTTTCTGTATACAGAATTTTGCAATGCTTATGGTTACGTGTGGTTAAATGTAACTGTAAGGCCCCAGTCTCGCAGGTCAAGCTTCTTAAAGGGGCCTTGGTTTTTTTACACCATGAGAGGACACAAGGAAAAAAACCACAACAATGTTTTTCAGGAGCTTAAACCACAAACTTTTACTGGCAAACTTTAGAAAATAAGGGAAATTGGCAATTCTCAAAGGCAAATTCAATGACAGTTAAGCATTTCATGAAGCATGGACTTAGCAAACTGCAGCCCATCCAACTTTTAAGTTACCCAGATTGCAAGAAGAGGAAATCAGAAGAAAGAGAGAGAGAGAAAGCAAAAGTATAACTACTGCTGTGTTTCCAGCATGGTAGGAGCCAAGGACAATAGGGACACAACACATGGAGGCCTTGTGCAATGATTTTTATCTGCTCTGGCTTCCTGCGGGCCACCTCCCCCCCAGGTGGGGCTTCCAGTCAGCCAGCCATTCTGGAGCTGGGTTAGGGGTTCCAGGGCCACGTTGTGGAGCAGTGCTTCCAGTTTGCCAGTGACTGAGAGCTGCTCTGGAGCTGCCCCAGAGGCTCTGGAGGGTGGGGAATGTGAGCAGTGCACTCTCTCACTTTGGCAGAACTTGCCCTGCTCCCTCCTACACACACCTTAGTTGTTTCAAGCCAGTAATAATATTTTCCAGTCTCTCACAGTAACTAAGCTGGGCTTGCAGCTTAGGCTATGCAATATCTGGCCTTATGACCTTTTTATCAGTTTCCATTTCCTAAACACTTCTGTTCACTATTTTTTTTTTTAATCATTTTGGAAAAGATGTATATCCGAATTGACTAACATCTCAATCACACATTTTTACCTAAAATCAGTCAGTCCTGTGGGATAAATCAGACTGCTGTGTGGACTTTTTTTTTGTTACTGAAACAATCCTTCATATGTTCTGTAAAAGTCTATTTTTATTTCTTTTGTGAAAATTAATATTAAAAGGTTTAAAAATTAAACTAGAATGCATGCTACAATGATTTGTTTAATTGAGTGACTTCTGTTTAAATAGTTACATGAGCCACGTACCATGTTCATATATATTTATGTAGTCATTTTCAGATGTTAACTGGAGGTAATAAGATTTAAATTTATGATACAGCAGAATAAACAGTACAGTCTATAAGCACTTGAGTGTTTGACCAGAAAGTGTTATAGATCCTTGCAGTGATCCTCTGTAGAGACCTTATCAAGAACTTGACCAAAGCTACTGAGTCACGCAGGTGGTTCTGACTTTCAGAACATAAGGTCGCAGTTTGAGTGAAGTCTCAGATAGCAAAAACGCTTTCATTTTTACTGAGACAACAAAGGCCTCTTAACACTGCTGGGTAGTTAATGTTTTCTGAGTGGTCTCTCAAAGACAAAGTGCTTGTTGGTTACAATTCCATTATTGTTCTTCCTCGTGGTCTGACAGTGCCGTACCCTTCAAAAGGAGGAGAGCACTGAATTATGTTGCATGCTGTATGTGTCCAGTCATCTTTTCTGATCAAGTGAGTGAAAAAAGATGTGGAAGATCTTAAACCAAAACCCTTTCTTTTCAGAAAATTTCCTGCCTCTATTTACTGAATTCATCTGTGAATGAAACATGCACTGCATGTACAGTTTACAGTGTAAGATCAAATTGTCCAGAAGAAAATACTATTTGTCTATGGCAAATGCACCAAAATATTCTATCTGGCTTATTTTTTAAAAATGTCAATGCTTTCAGTATGTGCTGCTGCAAGAAAACAGAACATTTTATCAGGTGTTAAGAATCTGTCTGAGCTGTAAACCCTAGGATAATTAGAATAATTAGTCTCTAGCCTAAAATATTTCTACTATGTAGTTAGTTATTGTGAAGTAGGAAGCAAAGTGCATGTTTCTTTGATAAGTAGATGATCTAAAAGTGTGTCAATTAAAAGATTCTGGGTATGAAATTCCAAATGTACAGGTATCAAAGGGGGCAAACAGAATGAAGCAAATGTTCAAAAGCGCTCTAAGATGCTTTAAAAGAAAAAATTACAGAGAAGAAAAAAATCAAGAATAGAATATTGATGATGTAAATAAACATTATTTCCAATTTTAAATTGGTTTCCTGATGCTATAAGTATACACCAAGATGTGCTGGGCAGCTTGTTTATTCTGTACTTTCATTAAATGAGTTACAGATATTAGGGCTTTTAGGTAGATATTGATGATGTTATATTTATGTAATCTCAATTTTATTTAAGTCTTCTATATTTTGATAATCAGAGCACACAATTTAAAGATATTATATTACCTGCATCTAGCACATCCTTAGTTTTGAAGTGCGTAGAAGGCTTGTTCACTGTTTATTAGTTTTTTGGATAAAGTTAAGGAAGTTTCACCTGAAACTAATATTAATATTACAAATCAGACAATTAATTAGTGGTTAAAGATATTAACATTTGCTCTATAGAATACCGTAAAGGTATCGTAATTATGGACTTGGATTCTTTTCATGCCTGCCACCAAATTTATGAAAATAACATTTCTCCCTGGTTTTCCCATTTATCAAATAGGAATACTTGCAGTCCTGATCAAGTGCTCTGATGCTTGTGGAAGATAAATCTCCTTTGTGAGTGTGTTCAGTGTTATAAGTAGCATTATCCCTAGAATATCAAGAGTTCCTTCAGGAGAATGTATTTTCAAGGACAGTTTTTTTCACTTTGGTTGCATGCTCTTTATTTTGCTTCTTTGTATACAAATTTAAGGCTAAAATGGGGCTTACATGTCAGCGTAATATCTGATCAGCAGAATGCCCTCTGCTGAATAATACTGTGACATATATAGCACAATGCAATAAATTGGGTAGGAAGTAGTAGCTTGCTATTTTGGACGTAATTAATGTAGTTTTATATTTAACACCTCAGTCTTTGCATTCAGAAATAAGTTGTCTTTCTAATGCTTCTTATTAATGCTTTATTTTAGTAAGTGGATGTACAAATAACTTTCCAGTTTGATCCTAGTCAGTGGGAACCTTCTAAAACAACACTCTAAGCTTAAAGCAGCTTAGAAAAAGTGTGTGTTATATACCTACTTATAGTTTTCTGCTTTTCCTGCATTGTGAGAACAGGTGTATTGGTGGGGAAAAAATATTCACTGACATGCCTGAGAGATGAAAAATAAGCATTTATAGGAAAAAATGAGAAACTTTATAAAAATATGAACATTTTCTTACAGTTTATTTTCCCTTCATATGACTAAGCAAATTGCAAATAACAGTGAAAGAGATTAAAAGGTGTTGATATAGGATGGAAAAACTAGAACCATGCTTAAACAATTATTTTTCTCTGTAAAGGCTAAAAAACCAACCCCCAAAAAACCCTACCTTCCTCCTCATCCCCCAGAAAAACCAAAGCAAACCAAAAAACTCAAAACAATAAGAATACTCAAACAAACAGAAAAACCAAACCAAACAAAAGAACTCCCCATGGCCTCCCAGAAATCAATTGCTGAAAACATAGTTCAGGAGAAGCAAGGAATATCCTTGTTTTTATTGCTTAGCTGTAACACAGAGTAGCCAGTAGCCAGAAGTTTAGGAGTGGGTTTCGGGATTCTTAAGTAGAAAAATGCGGTAATTGATGTCATAGTTAATGCCTGATTTGGGCTGCTGCTCTTGTATACATTGAGTCTTTAAGCTGTATAAAGCTGTGTGGTCAGGAACTGTAAGTTAAAGATGTGAGTCAATCAACTACATGGTTTTATCTTTCAGTCTTTGTCACAGTAAATTATACAGAAGGACTCACAGATATGACCCCAGGTTTGGGTGTTGTTTGGTAGAGGAAGAATAAACAGTAAGAAGTTGCAAATCAGAAAAGATAACCACTAAAAAAAGTTGGTTTCAGACTACTTTATCTGAAGGATTCTTGGGATGTGGGGATCGCGCTGGATTGCAAGCAAATATTTTGGCTCATCTAGTAACTATTTTTAGACAGTAAAATAAGGATAATCTGGATGATTCTTTAAAATGTTGCTAAAGCTGTAAAATGGGAACAGAAATGCGGAGTTAACACCTTTGTAAGCTGAAATATCTTTTAATATAATTGAAGTTTTACTAAATGTTCTAGTATGAAGAATTTGTGTCAAAAATTGAAATGGATTCCTTAGGACAGCTACCAATATATGGTCTGTTGACTGGTTTAACTGTATAGAAGAGAAATAATTAAAGACAATCTGGCATTTGTATATGTGGTTCCTACAGCACAGAAACTACCTGAACACTTTAAAGGTAATAAGATGATATTTTTTCTGCTAGCTTGTCCTAATTTGCTTCCTTTTTTTTAATATGTGTAATTGACAAAATAGAATGTGCCATTTTACTCAAGAAAATGCACAAGCATTTTAGTTAGGCCTTTATGAAGCATGGTACTTGTCTTACGTAAATAATGTCGACAATTCAGATGAG